TTAATCAAATTTACTAATCAGATTTACTAATCAAATTTACTAATCAGATTACGTACGGTAAAGCACGTGCTATAGCCGAGCTATAGCCGAGCTATAGCCGAGCTATAGCCGAGCTAAGCACGTGTAGCAAAAAGACGTGCAGCATATAAAGTTTCTTTCCGTGCAGCATTTACTAATCAGATTTATTAATCAGATTTACTAATCAGATTTATTAATCAGATTTACTAATCAGATTTACTAATCAGATTTATTAAGCGAAGCGTTCTTTCTTTATTCCGCGTCGAGTTCGTGTTTTAAATATTGTAATTCACTTTTATTGAATCGAAGCATTGCATCGATTATTATTAAGCGACGCGTTATTTTCTTTATTTCGCGTCGATTTATTGTTTTAAAACGCGTTATTTTCTTTATTCCGCGTCGATTCATTGTTTCAAATATTATAATTCACTTTTAATGAATCGAAGCAATACCTCGATTACGATTAAGCTATACTTTTATTTTTATATAAGTACTCGCTCCCTTTCCTTTTCCTTTTCTTTTTTTCATTATCATTACAACTACTTTCTATTCAACTTCTCAACCTTAACTTTAATACTCAACTTCTTAACCTCAACCTCAATACCCAACTTCAACTTCTCAACCTTAATACTTAACTTTAACTTCTCAACCTTAACACTTAACTTCTTAATCAACCTTAACATTTAATTACAATTATACTCAACTTAAATAATTATTTTCCTTTTAATTCTTTGCTTTTTAATTCTTTGCTTCAAGCTAATTATTTTCTTTATTTAGCAATATCGATTCCTTTCCTTTATAACGCTATAATCGAGGTCAACCCTTTTAGCACCGGTGGCAACAAGCCAATTAACGAGATACTTAGTCGCTATAAGGATTTCGTAGTCGTTTATGCTAATAGTAACGTTATTAATTCAATGTTTACTTGCTATAACGAAAAGGATACCGCTTTGTTTTTAAGACCAATCGGCCTCGATTACGAATAGAAAAGTCGCAAAGGTTTTGTCGACGAGTTCGGCATCAAGCATTACGGTGCTAATAAGGTTAGTAATAATATTTATATTCTATGATTATTAATTGATTTTTTATTTAAAAAGAGAGCGCTTAAGTCCTTTATCTTTTCGACCACTTTATCTCTTTCCTTAACCTAATTAGAAAGCAATTTATTTATAAAGATGTTAAAGTTCGATTGATCTTAAGTGATCTTACTTTTAAGCTTTTCGATAGCGATTATGCCGAAGCTAAAAGCATCTTAAAAGAGCTATTAATGCTATACTTTTTTACTATCGATAGCACCTTAGCATATAAACGCTTTACCTTTAAGTTCTCGGATGAAAATGAGTTTAGATAGAGTAATAAATGCTAAAAGCTAAGAGAGCTACTTAAGTCAAACGAGATTTATTTAAACCATACTTATAAGCAAAAGCTTAAGCTAAAAGCGGAGACCGAGTTGAACGTATTCTACGTAACTGCAAAAGGACGGGTCTTTATCAACTCTTTATAACTAATAGACTTAAGCTAAAGAACGGGTCTTTACTAACCTTTAAGCCTTTGTAATTAGTAAATTTAATTAATACTTTAAGTCTCTGATTAGTAAATGTGATTAGTAAATGTGATTAGTAAATATAATTAGTAAATATGATTAGTAAATGTGATTAGTAAATGTGATTAGTAAATGTGATTAATAAACTTAATTAGTAATTATGCATATGCATATTTTTATATATATAAACCTTATAGAGTAACCCCACGCCCTATAAGGTTTCCCTATAGAAAGGGGCAGAATTTTGTAACCCCCGTAGGTTCCCCCGTGGAAAGGACCCAAAACTCCGTGGGGCCCCATGGGGCCCCATGGAGCAGCCTATTTTTAAGCTAATAGCGAATCCGTACGCGAAGATAGCAAAGATTACGAGACATTATACGCTATTATAACAGCTGCTACTTCGTTTAAGCTATTACTAAAATAACTTAACTCGCAAAAACGAAAATATTTAAAACTTTTTATTTATTAAAAAGAGCTATAACGGTACTTATACTGTTGGATTGCTTCCAAGCGATTGGGAATATATATTCGTAAGGTCGTAACGGTCGTCAAAGTACTTGCAATTGCAAAACACTCGGTTGATAAGGTATTTGAATTCTGTCTTCTCCCTAAGGCTTAGGAGAGCTGATTCCTTCTATACGATTAGAAGGAATCACGTGCACTAGCTAGCTAATAGGTTTACTTGTCAAGTTGAGGGTCCCTTGACTGCTGACATGCTAAGCGAGGCATGCTAAATGGCCCGTGAACTATAGTTCACGGGTGAGCTTCCCTAACTACTACTACTACTACTACTATTAGCTAAGGTCGATATGGATATACCGACACCGGCAACTCTTTCTTTGGCAAATAGTGCTTTGCTAATTATTATATCGATCGAAAAAGGAAGGAAGGTAATCAAATAAAGGAAAAACAATCTCTTTCTTCCTTTTATAGCGGCCTTTCCACTTATCTATCGACTTGCACCTTTAAGGTATTAGTTAAAACTAGCTTTTGCAAAGAGATATTGGCCTCGATTTTGGTCATGGCGTTAGCAAGGTTAGATTTGCCTTCGATCTAGCGTACCTTAGAAAGCTCTCGCTTTTCGTATAACTCTCGAATAGCTATAATATCGATCATTAAGCGCTTTTCTTTAATGGTCCTTAATTTTATTATGCATTCGTAAAGCGAGTAAGAGTTAATGCACACGATTACGAGGAAGTTAAAGATTCTTAGCTAAGCCGTAATTTAAGTAAAGATAATCGATATAGCAATAGCTATATCGATACCTAAGGATATCGCGTATAGCTTAAAGGCTAATACTGCTCTTGTCACCCTTTTGCACTTTTGTGACACTTAATATAAAATATTACTCGTTAAAGTGAACTCGTTCTCACTTACGTGAGCCTTATTGCTAAAGATAGCTACGAAACCGATCTAAGAGCTAAGGTTAGCGTTATTAGCAAACGCTCCGTTTACGAATACAAAAAGCTTCGCAATCTTTAGGTCTAAAGGCACGTAATAGATCCTTCGAGTTGGGTAATCGATCAGCTATTAAATCACTTTATTAAGGGCTTTGTAGTCTTCGTCCTTCGGTTCTTAGTGTTAAGCGGCTATCGATAAAGCGCAAGATGCCTTTAAGTAGCAAATGGTAGCCAAATACGCCCTTCGAGTACGTTGCTCCAAGTACTCTTTAGCTCGTATAGCTAAATCGAGCTTGATTATTGCAAGCCTTTCACTTTGCCCCTTTTGCCTAACTGACAGTCCGAACCTTTTTTTATTTAAGGATAGCTTGCATTTATTGAAAATCATTGGCTCGGCGTATATAAAGGTCTCCATTTCCTTGCTCTTTAGCTTAGATTTAATCAGCTCCCTTTCCTCCTTTGCTCTTATGGCTAGATTAACAATTATAAGAATATTATCCGTTTATAAAGCAGCTATTCTTAGCTGATCCTTATTAGTTGATACAAAAAGGCAAAAATCAAAGCTCGATTGCCTTATCTCGAGGTTATCCGTGAAATGCCTTGAAAAACGCTTATATTAATGCGTTCTTGCTTCGAGGATCTTATACAACGGGCCAATCATAAAGAATAAAGTGCCGAAAAGGAATCGATAAGTGATCTTTTTAAGTGGTCGCACGACGATTATTCGGATAAGCTTCGTGCTTAACTAAATATAAGCTTGAGTGATATCCTTGCTATAGACTTGACACTCGTAGTCTTTTATCAAAGAAAGAGCTAAAGCATAATAGAGTCTTTAGCCCGCTCGCTGCACCGTAGATGACTCGATAAGTACCTTCGTTTTGCTTTTATCTTAGAAAGCTTGGACTATTATACGAGATTTCTCGTATAGCGTAAGTGTTTCTTTGCCTTTAATCTTATTAACAAACTTAAATCCGAAGATCTTAGCGCCTTTAGCGCGTAAGTCGGTGCTCGAGATCACTTAAAGGATGCTTTAAGCTATTAATCTAACTAATTCTTTTGCTCTAGACTCTTAAAATAATGCCTTGGAGCTTTTAATAATTCCCTCGGCTCGTAGCTTAGCTGAAAGCTTATAGTCCCGGCGTTCCTTATCGGTAATCAACACTTTAAAGTCCTTAATAAATAAAACGTAAGAATCGCTTTTCTCCTTGTTAAGCACGATCGAGATATTAAGATCGTACTTCTAGTAAAGTATCTGGACTATTAGTATTGTTGACTTTTAGAGATTAGCAAGTTAAAGGTTAAGGGAGCTATTTATTAGTCTTGGCGAGCTTTTTGAATTAAGCGACCTCGGTGGATTAAGCGAATGTTAAAGTTTAGGCGAATTTCGTATTTCTAGCTTTTTTTCGCTTTCGCTTTAATTATCTTCTACCTCTTTTTCCACCTCTTCTTCTACCTTTACTTTAAGTACTTGCAACTCCTCTAGCAGCTTTTTAACTTCAAAGTAATAAGGTTTTACTAAAGTTGACTTGAATTCCGTAAGCCTCGGACAAGCTATTATGCACGTGTGCCCTTGCTTGCCAAGCAGCTGAAAAGGGCCTTTTCACCCTTAGTTTTCCCGCCACACGAGCACTCGTAAGCTAATAAAGAGGTCTAGGGTATGCTCCGTAATTAGGCTATTCCTCCTCTTAAGCGCGTCCTTAACTTGCTTCGCAGCGTAGCATTTTCGTACTTCCTTTATAGCTTTGTTAATAGCAGCAGCACGCTCTTAAGTAAACGCGGCAGGTCGATCTTGCTCCGTTAGCCTCGGTAAGGTCTTTGTTAGATTGCTTCC